GCGGCTGTGATTTGGCGCTGTATAAATAAAATTGAATTGAATGACTAATTATTTGTGAACTGATCAATTGGCTTAAATCTGACTCTCCACCACTTGGCCTTAGAACTGAAAAAGCTCCTCAGATTAGAGGTGAAGCATCTTCGGGATATTTAAAGAAGTTCAGTGGCTTTTCAAGGTGATCAGGAGACCACATAAAGTTTGGAGATCAGTAGCAACTCTGCAGAAAGTTGGTGACCTCTGTGCAGTATGTATCTCAGTATCCATTATTTTGTTATAATAGCACTAACAGCTGATCGTGTAACATTTAGTAACAAGGAATTTTCACCACTGGACTTGTTGGAAAGGTGCCATCCTATCACGGTACACTCTGGGATTCACAGAGCTCCTGTGACCCATTCTTTCACAAATGTTTGTAGGTGTTTGATTTTATAAACCTGTGCCCATGAACACCTGAACTCAATGATTTTAGATGTGTGACTGAATACTTTTGGTAATATAGCATAGTTTCAAAGTTTTCTTGCACAGATGTGAAGGTTTGAATTAAAGGAGAATGACATGTGGTTAAAGTGAATCTTTGGTTACTGATTTTAGAGGGAAGAAGATCTACGAGCCTCCTCGCTTCATGACAGTCAACCAGGCTGCAGATCAGCTAATACAGGTCATCCAAAGGAGGAAGGAGGAGGGAGAGGAGTTGGGTGAGTCGTACCTGACATGCGAGTACTTTCTATCAATCCCATATTTGTTCAGATTGAAGTTCTGGTACAGTCATCAGGTAGAAGGAAAACGATAATCAAGTTTACAAAAAATATTGTAGTACTGTGTTTTATCTTTAGGATATTCTGAACCACGACTTAGGAGAACCAGTAGCATGCTAACAGTCTTGAAAGCCATGTGTCTGATTGGACCACTCCATCTTTCCTTAAAGAGCCAGTCAGCTGTGTTCGCTGCAGCTCTCAAACTCATGAGTCTTTGCCCCCCTTTTCCAGGCATGACGGAGGACACAGTGTGCGTTGGCGTGGCCCGACTCGGCTCTGACGAACAGAAGATCCGTGTAGGAACATTAAATCAGCTGGTGTCATGTGACCTCGGTGCTCCACTCCATTCGCTGGTCATCACCGGTCGACTCCACCCGTTGGAGGTGGACATGCTGCGAGTAAATGCAGAACCAAACGCACTGGAAAACCTGCACATGATTGACAGCTCAACCTACACCTCTTGACACACTTGTTCACCTGCTTGTCTACAACTACCATTAGTGACACACTATATAATCCCAGGCCCCAAATGGTAACTTAAACTGCATCCTGAGGCAGACCTTGAGCCTTCCCAATTAACTTTTTTGTTGTTATGTGATGTTTTAGACTGAATTGGAAATTTTGGGGAAGTTGAAGACATGTCATCACCGTGACCTTCCCATGCTCATTTCTTTTTCAATGTTTCAAGTTTCATAGATTCAACTTTTCTTAATTGCCCTTCATAAAAACAGCTATACAAGGCTGAGTCATTAGTCAGGATTCAGTGGCATTAAGCATTTCCCCAATTCCCAAACTCTGAATCTTTTTGGGGCCAAAAATGTTCCCTAACTGTGATGGATTTAAAGTAATCCTCACAAAGAAGTCACAAACACAGATGCAGAAAAAATGAATTAAAGTAATATATTTTAAAAAAAAAAAAACATTTGAAGGAGGCAGGAAATATGTTAGCTCCAACTTGTGATCATTTCATGTTAAACCTGCATGTTTCCACTCGTGCAGAGGCACCGCTGTTTACAATTCTGATATTAAAACCAAGTACAAATATTACTGCACGTGAAGTGAGAGCTTTTCTTTCCATAGGGCTCCAGTCCTCCTGCAGCTGTTTAATTAACTCGGTTCTATAATCAGTACTACAGATGTGATTATGAATAATCATTCTTAGAGAACCAGATTTATTTATTACAGCTGTAATAAATATTTATTTTTTTTAAAAGAAAGAAGAAAAAAAAAGGCTTAAATCCACTGGTCGGTCACATGGTTTGGCACATACAGAGTGACTTCACACGCACTGTCAACCAATCAAGTCTGAGCAGTCATGTCAGAGGTGCTGGAAGGGGCTCAGATTGTCTCATGTCAAAGGCACTTACCCATAATTCTTTGTGGGAGGGGCAGAATTTCCACTGTGAGCAGGATTATTATTATTTATTTATTTTTAAGAAAGTGGGTGGGGCTGTTTTAGTTCATCAGTTCTGAGAGCCCTCCCCCTATTCCAGTCTGTGCTGTGGTGACTGTCGGGGTCAGAAGTCACCTGCAGAAGTAGACTGAATGCGATTGGTCCCAAGTGTAGTGGAATATTAGCAGCTTCTACATGGCAGCTGTGTCGATCTGAACATACAGCTGCCGAACTCCTGCCTGTGGAGACAAAACCATTCATCGTGGCTGAATACTATGTTGACATCCTACTACCATCAAACCATCAATACTGCTACTGAAAGTAAAGTTTGTAAGAATGGTGCTGCTGACACAACCCTACATCTACAGCTTCAACTGCCACCAGGTACAGTGTACTTGAATGAAGCTGTGTTTAGGTACCTGCGTGAAGATGTGGTGTGTCTGGCTAAGGATCCAGCGGGTGTCAGCGTCAGGGGCGACCAGCAGCTTTAATGTTCCGATATAAACATCAGTACACAGAGTCCAGAAGTGAGGCTCCTGCAGATTATACACTCCCTGCAGTTGCTGCACCTGGCCACAACACAACAAACATCAGACTTGTCCACTCCATTCAAGGGCTTGAGGTACAATTACCTTCTTAAATTAGTGCTACAATTGTTACTACTACTACTAAAACAAATGATTACTTACTAATGATAGTATCAAGAAATGTACAGTTTATACACTAAAATACATATTTACAGAATCTATTCAGTGGCACCTTTGGTTTCTATTGTCATGAACTGCCAGAACCTGCAACAAGTAAAGAACTGGTTCTTATTCCACTAACTGCATCCTAAGACGATCTGTGCAAAATCAGACTTCCAGGAAATGCAGCTGCATACACTTTTAAATTATTAATTTGTCAAGTAACTGACAAAGTACATCAAAATCTAACTTTATGCTAAATACTGATGTTTGCTCAGTTCCTACCTCTTCTTTGAACATTGAGTATGGTCACTACTCACCCTCTGGTAGCACTCTGGTAGGGCATGGTCTAGTGAAAATGGAGTTCTCTGCATCAGAATCCCAATAGACTCCTTCAGTAACGGTACCACACTGAGGATCAAATGATAGAAGACAGAAAGTTTAGACAGAAAGTAGAGAGTCTTGTTTTTTTTTTAGTTACATTGTGCCAGTTCCTAACAACAGCCACCTCACGGCACTCTGCATTGTAAGACCCCACAATTTTGGAGAAAAACATTCCAGCAGTCAGACGATCCACTATGAGTAAGCAGTGACAGAATCAAGGAAGAACTCCCCTTTAACACAAGGAAAACTCCAGCAGAACCAGGATCAGGAGACAAAAGTCAAAGATGTAACATAACAGGAAAACAAGGGAGGACAAAAAAAAACAAAAAAAAACTTGCAATACTGTTCCACTGCTGTGCAAGAATACACTCATGCAAACATCCATGCCACTAGTCAACTAATTTTGAAATCATAGTCCAAGTCCAAGTTGTGGTGCATGTACCATGAACCACAGTTCAAAATTGTAGAGATTCTTAAGATGGGTCCGAGTTTAACTCATTTGCAGAATCTGTAGATTTACAACTGAAGTTCAGCTCCATGATGAGTTTGACTTTCCAGCTGCAGAAACCTGATACCTGCAGTTATGTGAAGGCCTCTCAGCTAACCACAGCACCACTCTGCTGACTCTTTAAATTGGCAGCTGTGCTCACTTCCAGCATATCAAACCACATCAGCACACATGAACTCCATTTATCTTGGATTTCTGGGAAATCTGACCACTGCATTCACATTCAGAAGACCAGCGATTCGAGAACAGACTCCAGGACTGTATAAAGGACAATACCAGTGGTTTGGCATGTTGGCGTCCATTAAATACTAATTGGACATTCTTTACATTAGTGGAAACCATTTTCCAAAGAGTCTGTCAGTTTTTGATTGATTTTCTTTCTTCCAGGCAGATGTTGTTTCCAGCTTGTTTTTCTCTGGAATTCGACTTTAGAGCTGAAACCGGATTGATAATCCATAAGCTCTAGTAGTCAATGAGGAGGATCTGTAAGATGTTAAGGAATGTCTGCTATCATCTGAAGGAAATGAGCTTCTCTAACATATGTTTCTGATAAGACAAAGTTACACATCATGAGCACTACTAAAGAATGTAAAATACTCAAGGGATCATTAAAAGAGAAACAAACAAAAAAAAAAGGTTCTCACAGTCCTGCAGTGACTTCAGGCCTGAATCTGGGTTTTCATTATTAGAGAGTGGTTCACTTCTTTTTGGCGTACATCACTGTTATGCCACAGACCAGATCCGACCCAAGAACAGTTCATGTTCCAGATAGGAAAATGTGAAGTAATCACCTACTGACCCATCAGCTCCCTTAGATCTTCGGGTGGATACAGTTACTGCCTAAAAGTTTTAAAGACCAAGTATTTGCCTTTAACTGATGGAAATTAAGTAATATAGATTACTGGGTGGTAAGGTGGAACAGTGGTTAGCGTTGCTGTTTCACAGGAAGAAGGTTCCTGGCTTGAA